TTTTATTTTTAGGGTTTTTTTTTTTTTTTTTCCCCGGGTTTTTTTTGGCCCCCCGGGGTTTTTATTTTTTCCATTTTATTTTTAGGGTTTTTTTTTTTTTTTTTTTTTTTTTTTTGCTCAGGATTTCTTTGGCTACTCAGGGTCTTTAATTGTTCCATATGAATGTTAAGATGGTTTTCTCTATTTCCGTGAAGAATGTCATTGGTATTCTGATAAGGACTGCATTAAACCCATAGATCACTTTGGGTAGTCTGGACATTTATACACTAATTCTTCCAACCATGAACATGGAATGTCTATCCATGTTCTGGTATCCTCTTTAATTTCTTTCATCCGTGTTTTATAGTTCTTATTGAAGAGATCTTTCACTTCCTTGGTTAAATTAATTCCTAGGTATTTTGGTTTTTTGGCAGCCATTGTAAATGGACTTGCTTTCTTGATTTATTTTTCTGCTAATCTGTCATTGGTGTATAAAAACACTACTGATTTTTGTATATTGATTTTGTATCCTGCAACTCTACTTGTTTATCACCTCTAGAAGTTTTTTGGTGGAGTCTTTAGGTTTTTCTATACATAGGATCATGTCATCTGCAAACAGGGATTATTTGACTTTATCTTTTCCAATTTGAATGCCCTTTATTCCTTTCTCTTATCTGACTGCTCAGGCTATTATTTCCAATACTATGTTAAACGGGAGTGGTGAAAGTAGTTATATTTGTCTTGTTCTCTTTTTAAAGGAAAAGTTTTCAGCTTTTCCCCATTGAGGATATTGCTGGAGGTGGGTTTATCATATATGGTTTTTATTGTGTTGAGATATTTTCCTTCTATACCTAATTTGATGAAGAGTCTTTACCATTAAGGAATGTTGAATTTTGTCAAATGCTTTTTCTGCATCTATTAAGATAATCATGTGAATGTTGTCCTTGATTTTGTTGATATGATGTATTAATTTATTGATTTGCATATTCCTGGGATGAATCCCACTTGATCATGATTTATAATCTTTTCGACGTGCTGTTGAATTGTTCGCTAATATTTTGTTGAGGACTTTTACATCTATGTTCATCAAGGATATTAGCCTGTAGTGTTCTTTTGTTGTTGTGTCTTTGTCTGATTTTAGTATCAGGGTGCTGCTGGCCTCACAGAAAGAGTTTGGAAGAATGGCCTCTGTTTCAATTTTTTGGAATAGTTTGAAAAGAATTGGTATTAATTTTTCTTTAAATGTTTGGTAGAATTCAGCAGTGAAGCCATCTGATCTTGGGCTTTTCTTGGTTGGGACACTGCTGATTATTGCTTCAATCTCGTTGCTCATTATTGGTCTGTTCAGTTTTGCTGTTTCTTCTTGGTTCAGTCTTGGTAGTTTGTATGTGTCCAGAAATTTATCCATTTCCACCAGATTTTCAAAAGTGTGGCTGTATAGTTGTTCGTAATAGTCTCTAATGATTCTTTGTATTTGTGTGGTATCGGTTATAATGTTTCCTTTTTCATTTCTTTTTGTTATTTGTATCTCCTCTCTTCTTTTTTACTTAGTCTAGCTAATGGTTTGTCTATTCTGTTTATCTTTTAAAAAACAATTTTTGTTTCATTGATCTTTTGTATCTTTTTTTGGTTAATAATCTTTATTATATCTTTCTGTGTATTCATTTTGGGATTGCATTATTCTAACATGTGGTCCATTTTGGAGAATGTTCCATGTGCTGATGAGAAGAACGTATATCCTGTAGTTGTTGGATGAAATGTTCTATGAATATCTTTCAAGTCCAACTGGTCTAAAGTGTAGTTTATGTCCTGTGTTTTTGTCTGTTGCCTAGACGATCTGTCCAATGATGAGAGAGGAGTGCTGAGGTCCCATCTATTATTGTATTGGGGTCTATTTATCTCTTTAGATCTAATAATATTTGCTTTATATATCTGGGTGCTCTAATGATGGGTGCACATATATTTATGATTGTTATACCCTCTTGCTGGATAGATCCCTTTATCATTATATAATGACCTTCCTGGTCTCTTTTTATAGTTTTTGGTTTAAAGCCTATTTTTTTCAATATAAGAATAGCTACTCCTCCTTGTTTTTGGTTTCCATATGCATGATATATCTTTCCCATTCCTTCACTATTAGTCTGTGTCAGTCCTTTACAGAAGAACTGAGTTTCTTGTAGGCAGCATATATTTGGGTCTAATTTTTTAATGCATTCAGCCAGTCTGTCTTTTGAGTGGGAAATGCAATCCATTTATATTTAGGGTTATTATTGAAAAGTATGGTCTTACTCCTGGCATTTTAGTGATTATTTTTATGATTGTTTTGTATATCTATTGTTCCTTTCTTTCCCTTTTATTGATCATCTTTGGGGTTTGTTGGCTTTCTGCAGTGATAATATATATAGTTTCACTCTCTTTCTCATTTGTGTATTTGCTCTCCCAATGGGTTTTACTCTTTCTTATCCATACATGAACCGATTATCACTTTTTGAATTCCAGATATAGGACTCTCTTGAAGACTTCTTGCAGGGCTGGTAAGTGGTGTAAACTCCCACAGTGTTTGTTTGTCTGGGAAATAAACTATTTCCCCTTCATTTCTGAAGGATAGCTTGCTTGGTATAGTACTATTGGTTGGCAGTCTTTTTCTTTTAGTACTTTAAATATATCATTCCATTCTCTCCTGGACTGTAAGGTTTCCACTAAGAAATATGCTATTCATTAAAGGGTTTTCTGTACTCCTTATCTCCAATCCCTCTACTCCCATTTGCACTTTTACATGTCCTTTTTTATGTGGTAAAATATACATAACAAAGTTTACCATTTTAACCATTTGTCAGTGTACAGATAATACCTCTTTTAAGTGGACTCGTACAATATTGTCCTTTGTGTTTGGTTTATTTCACTTAGCAAATATTCTCAAGATTCACTCATGTTTAGCATATATCACAACTTCATTCCTTTTTTGGCTAAATAATATTCTTGTGTGTGTTGTGTGTGTGTGTGTATCACCATTTGTTTATTCATTCATCCATTGACTGACATCTAAATCATTTCAATTTTTCGGCTATTGTAAATAGTGCTACTATTAACATCCGTGTACATGTATCTGTTGGAGTACTCATTTTCAATTCTTTGAGTATATACCTAGAAATGAAATTGCTGGACCATACAGTAATTCTACATTTAACTTTCTGAGGAACCACCAAACTGTATTCCACAGTGAATACATTTTTCTTTCCCATGAGTTTTCCCATTTGCTTTTAACCAATTCCAACTAAAATTCTGCCTGTGTCATACCACTGCTCTGCAACATCAGCAATAATTTCCACATCGCCAAATCCAAGCTTCTCACAAATGACCCACTCTCTCCCATTTAAAACATTTGTGGCACATAGCTTCCAGACAGACATTCTCTTGGTTTTCCGCCTACAGTACTGATCACTTAGTCTCAGTTTCCCTTGCCATTTCTTCCTCATGTTTCCAAATTTTTAACATCACAGTGCCCTAGAGCTTGGTCCTAGAACCTCTTTTTTTAATCTACACTAATTTTAGTCTTAATGTAATTATGAATCTCAAGTTTATACACCCAGACAAAATTTCTAATCTGATCTTCAGATTCATACCTGTACACCCCCACTGCCTAGCAGATAGCTCTGCTTGAATACACAGTGGGCATCTTAAACTATGCAAAACAAACTCCTGATCTTCATCTCAAACCTAGCCTTCTCACAGAACCTACTCACCTCAAAAAATCAGAACTCAACCCTTCTAGCTACTCAGGAGCCATCCTTGGATCCTCTTTATTTCAATCATGACTTACAAAATCTATCAGGAAATCCTGCCAACTCGTCCTTCAAAACACCTTATCTAAAATCCAATCACTTTCTACCACCTCCACTTGCTACCACCCTAATCCAAGCAATCTTCTCTTGTTTGAAAATTGCAATCCTGTCTCTGATTTCCTTTCTTCTTCTTTTGCTTCCCTATAATCTATTCTCAGCACAGCAACCAGAGTGATCTAATTTAAAATATACCTCAGATCATCATATAACTCATCTGCTACAAACTGTCCTAAAACTTCCTATCTCATTTTGAATAAAAGAAAGTCCCAAAAATAACCTACATAATTTTACAACTTATAGACTGCTCCAAACCCCATTATCTCTCTGCTCTGGTTTTGTACTACATTCACACTAGCTCACTTTGCTCCACCCCACTGGCCTCCTTGCTTGTCCTTCAAATTCGGGGACCTTTACATTTGCTATTCCTGAAAGCTTCTTCCCACATATCCTCTCTTTCACAGGTCTTTGCTTCAATATCCCCTTCACAGTAAGGCCTGCTCTGATAAATCAATTTAAAAGTACAAATCCCCTCCCCTCTAGTGGAAGCACTCACTATAATTCCCCCTCTTTATTTTTTCTACATAGCTCTTATCCTTAAAGGACAGACTATATGGCTTATTTGTTTATAATAACAATTTAAGTTCTAAGAAACAGGTATTTCTATCTGCTGGCTGTGGTATTTCTAGAGACAAAACAGTGCCTGTACCACAACTGGCATTAATAAATATTTTTTGAATGAATTATGATAATGTTCAGGGATGTAACATGTACGATAATACTATTATAAGAAGCCAGGAAACAAATAACCTTAAATTCAGGTTGGATTATATTTGAGAGGAAGGGAATACAAAATACAACCAAAGTAGAACACATAAGGGGCACCAAAAGTATTATTAATTTTATGTTTAAGTAAAAGAGTGTTCAGTTTACCATTCTTTAAATAATATAATAAATATACCCATCGTAGACTCTTGGAGGAAGTGGTCAAAGTATGTTAAATATTGCAGAAAAAGAGTTAGAAGAGGAGTACGATAAGAAATTGGACAGTTGTGAAGACTGAAAGAGGTGAAAAGAGAAAAATTATAGGTAAAAAACTATTCAAAGTAATTTTGTTATGAAGGAGAGCACAGAGATGAAATAGTAGCTGAATGGGTATATGAATTCAAGGGAAATTTTTGATGTGCATTTCTTTATTAATGGAATATTACGGCATGATTGTATGCCAACTGAATGATTCAGTAGGGTGAAAAGAAAACTCTCCATTAAGTTGACAAAAAAGAAAAGGAGAGAAGGCATTAAGAAGATAGGAAATGATCAAAATTCAGAGATTTTAGATGGACAGGACATATAATTTTATGAAGTAAGAACTGTTAAACTCTATCTCACATCTATTGAGTGCAAAACAAACTTTAGTTAAGCTAGAATCTTACTAGCAATCAAAACTTAATCATTAAAGTTGACAGAAATATGAACAGCAAGAGAAAAAAACTTACTTTGAAAGTCACAATTGCCTTTGTGCAGTAAAATCCTACAGAAACAATAGGATCCTTCAAAGTCTGTGCTTTTTGCTGATGTGTGGCTGATACAGGATCATTCCCAAGGTAGTCTTCCTCACCATCATCATAACTCACAATTGCAGGCACAAATGACCAGGCCCATGATACCCATCCCTGTGGCTGCTCATCATCTTGCTGTGAATATAACTCTTGACCTTTGTACTGAGCAGGATACTGCATATCTATTCTTGTTTCACCCTCAGCACCTATCAATCAAAATAAAGCCAATTTACATAAATCAAGAAGATTTCACTGGGAAAAAATAGAAATGTACATCCTCTAAAAATGTCCGTCCCATATTCTTCTTTCTAACATAAGTTATAAATAAATCATACATTGGTTATTATTATTTGAAACCAATAATTTAGCATTTTCACTCTCAAGTTTCTATATGTTGCATTGTGTCAATCTCTCCTTGTAGGTAAATTCTACATGCAAAGTAGTTTATTACCTGCAAATATATTTAAACGTATTTGATAAATACAAAGGATAAATTCTTTAACATTTCACTCATTTTTTTTAAACCAACAACAAAAAACCTACCTCTCAAAAATAAGGCTAATATGTTGAAACATAAGGCCAATGTGTTGACTTTTCTCAAAAGCATAATACCAGCAAAATCTAAGAAAAGTTCTTGATTTTCTGATCCACCCAATAGAGAAAGAAAATGGAAAGTGCTTCTAGGCAAAATGCACCCCCTAAAACAAGAATTATCCCAAAGGATGAAAGTAAACATTACAATGAAATGATATTTATATGTAGCTAAGAAAAATAATAGTGTTCATAACTCTTTCCTATTAGTGCATAAGATATGTTAGTATCTTTCCTACTCAACAGATGAAAAAAAATTAGAGCAAAGAAATTTTATTTGATTACAAATTGGCAGACTAAAGATTTAGATTCCAACCACTCTTTAATTTATTCCACCTTTGTTAAGACAAACTCTATAAAAGTCCCTTAATATTATTTTAACAATACAAAGAGGTATATCATCATGAAATTTAGAAAGAAAAAAATTACTTTTTAAAAACAAACAAAAAGGTATATCATTTTGAAATTTAGAAATAAAAAATTTCTTTTTAGGAAATTCATAAGGGCTGGCTGGTTAGCTCAGCTGGTTAGAGCACAGCCTTGTAATACCAACATCACAGGTTTGGCCCCCCACACCAGTCCAGACACACACACACAAAAAAAAAATTCATGAGATAAGTAGTCTCCAGCAGATTCAATTATATATACTTTCCACTGATAAATCTATAAATACACACTCCTTTAAACACCATCCTTCTCGGTTGGATAAGGGACACAAAGAATAATTATGATCTGTAGTGATGGAACATGCTAATATTGATTTGATCATCACATATTGTACACAAACACTAATAGTCAACTTTGTATCCACAGATATATATAACCAATTACGTTTCAATTAAAACAAAAAAAGTCTGATCAATCCAAGGAATGTAAGGGTGTTTAATATTAGAAAATTTATAAATTTTTAAAAAATTCATTACAAGATTGAAGAATAACTACAAGTGATCCTCTTAAGAGTTATGGAAAAATCATTTGACAAAAATCAATATCCACTAACAGAGTTGTTTTAAAGATGAGTAGAAATCCCTCCCTAAAGTGATAAAGAATGCCTGTATCAAATAGTACTTAATATATTAGAAGCATTTGTTTTACAATCAGGAATAGAAAATGATGTCTAGTATCACTACTGTGATTCAATATTGTAATAGATATCGTAAACAAAGACGACAAATAAATAAATGACTTAGAAATTTTTTAAAAAAATGTGCTTCAGCTTCAAAATAAATTATAAAAGTTACAAATAAAAAAAATGTTTAGCATAACCTTCATATCTTGCTGTTTAACCATAAACATTATCTAAGTTTCTATTAGGGGATAAATAAAGACATTAATTGTCCCTAACAAGACTTGAAATTGGACATCATCACTGAATATCGTCTCAGCTGATGTGAAATTGGACATCATCACTGAATATCATCTCAGTTAAGAAACAAAAATCAAGTCACCTCAACTCAGGAAACAGTGACCAGGTTGAGTCCACACAGCTAGACTCTATCTAGACCTCTCATGTTTAGCCCATTAAAACAGAAAGAGTATCCATTGCTTAAGCTTTTGAAACAAAAGAAAGAAACGCCACTAATAGAGGTCTGAGAAACCAGTAACTATAATTTTTACTCAATATTTTCTTGAGTAAGACATAAGAGGGATTTTGATGAAAGATGCTTTTCAAGCTCCAAATCTTTGCTTACTGCCCTAGAATATATTAGGGTATGGAAAAGAAAAAAAGAATCTATCTCATATCTGGTCAAAATTTCCAAAAATATTCTTTCTTTGGAACAGTGTATCTTAATCTGAGCCCTTTGACAGAATTCAGAAATTCTATAAATTTCAGTGGGAAAACTAAGTATTTAATTAAAATATAGCATTCCTTTAGTTACGAATGTAGTTAACAAACCACAGTTACATTAGCAGTTACCTGTGACTCTAAAATCTATAGAAATCACAGTTATAACAAAAATAACAGTTGTGAAACTATCTAAAAGTATCTATCACACTCATTAGTACTTTGATGCTTTGATAGCTGTTAGGCCTCCTGCTATAACTTTGTTATTTGATGTGTTAACATAAAAGCATATTATAATTTCTTAAATATTTGATAACTATTTCAATATAATTAATTTCTTTTGTAATCCAATATATTCCCTTAAAACATTCATAGAATCGGCATATAGCCAAGATGGAATAACAAAGAGAATTTACCCTCCCACCTGAAAAAGACAACAAAAAATCCAAAATATATAAAATAATGGTTTTCACACACTAGATATTAGGCAGTAAAGACCAATGACTCCTGAGAGATGGCAAACAAGAGAAACGAACTCTGCAAACGCCTCAGTAAACTGTCTGGAATGAGCTTCTAAGCCACAGCCAGGAAAGAGGAAATCTAAACAGAACTCAACAATCTCCCTTAGATGGAAGACAGAGTGAGGAAGTCCAGGGAGACTAAGATGGTTAGAGGTCGCAGGAGAGAGTACCAAACAGGAAAGCTGCTCAGAAAGCCCCTGAGATCTGCAGAGGGTCCTCATCTAGTATTCATTCAGTTGAGTATTAATCGATACATGCATATAAGGAAACTTAAAAAGAACCACCAGAAAGGGGTAAAGCGAACAATCCTCAGGGTTCACACAGAATTAGGAATAGTTTTTGTTCCCACCAGCCAGAAAGAAAAAAAAAAAAATCTTTTAATTCACAGGGCATTAGGCAGGGTACTCAGAAGAGTAACTTTAAGTAGTGAGACAAAAGTGGGCCTAAACTAATGGCTACTTTGATCCCACCTAACAAACCTTAAAAGCAAGCCCCAAATGAATTAAATCACAACAAAAATATCTAGTATCCAACAAGGCAAAATTCACAATGTCTGATAACCAATTAAAAATTATCAAGCATGCAAAGAAACAAAAAAATATATAACCCATAATGAGGAAAAAAAAAGTCTATCAACAGAAACAGATCCAGAGAAAACACAGATCATAGCATAGCATTAGTAAACAAGGACATTAAAACAGCTATATAAATAAAATGCATATGTTCAAGTAAGCATAAACAGATAAGGAGAGACATGAAGTATATAACAAAAGACCCAAATTGAACTTCTAGACATGAAAAACAATACATAAAATATACATGAGATGGGATTAATAGCACATTATACAGAGCAGAAAATTAGTAAACTTGAACAGAAATAGAACTATCCAAAATGAAAGAGAAAATAAAAGAAAAAAAGAAAAGAAAACCATGAATGGAGCATCAGAGAGCTCTGTCAAACATCAAGCAGCCTGATATACACACAATTGAAGTCTCCAAAGGAATAGACAAGGGAACTAAAAAAAAAAATTGAACAAATAATGTCCGAAATTTTTCCACATATAGGTGAAAACCATAAACCCACAGATCCAAAAATCTCAATGTACAAGTAACATGAAGCAGATCCAAGCACAAGTAACATGAAGAAATGACACAAAGGCACATCATAATCAAGTTGCTTAAATCCTTCTGAGAGAAGGTTCAATCCATGGCACACATACAAAAGATCAGGGATCTCTAAACAGTTGAGAGAACTAACTTAGATGCCTCTGGAAGCATACACTGGAGTTGGCTTTCTCCCTCTCTAACATACAAAAAAAATCTAGAAACCTTCTCAGACAGGTCACAGAAAACAACAGCTAAAAAGATTTGAAAATTACATTTCATCAAAATTAAAAACGTGTGCTCAAAAGATACCTATTAAAAAATGAATAAGCAAGTCACAGACTGGCAAAAAAAAAATTCCCAAAACATATGTATGACACAGGACTTGAATTCAAAATATATAATGAACTCCTACAAATAATGAAACACAAAAATGCTTTAAAACAGGCAAATATTTAGCATACACTTCACAAAGGTAAACATATATAAAAAGCCAATAACTACATGAAAAAGTTCAAAATAATTACTCATGAGGAAAACGCAAATTAAACCCACAATATACCACAACACGCTTACCACAATAGCAAAAAGTAAAACAATACTGACAACACAAAATATTGGTAAGGATGTAGAGCAACTGGAACTCTCACACATTATTGACAGGAATGTAAAATGATACAATCACCTCGGAAAAAAGGTGATTTAAAACTAAACATATAATTCCACTCTTAGGTATTTAACCAGGAGAAAGAACTGCACATGTCCACATGAAAGTTGTACAAGAATGTCCATGAAAGCTTTATTTATAATAGCCAAAAACTGGAAATAGCCAATGTGTCCATCGAAAAGCAAACGGCTAAATATATTATAGTGTATTCATGTGGTATGTACACAACGTACCTAACAAAAGAACAACTGATTTATGCAACAATGTAGATGAATCCCAAAAATACTATGCTTAATGAAAAAAGACTTTCACAAGAGACTACATATACCCTATGATTCCATCTATATGAAATTCTAGAATCAGCAAACTTATGGTTTTAAAAAAAATTCAGAACAGTGTTTTTCTTTTTTTTTTTTTTTTTTTTTTCCCCTTTTTGTCTTTTTTACTGACTGGTAACGGGATCGCAACCCTCGGTGTCGCGCCCGTACCGGGGACCGGCAACGGGATCGCAACCCTTGGTGTTGCGCCCGCACCATGCTCAGCCAGTGAGCGGGAACCGGTCTCCACATGGGATCCGAACCCTCGGCGGGAGCGCCGCCACGCTCCCAAGCGGCGCACTCCCCAGTGCGCCACCAGGCCGGCCCCAGAACAGTGTTTTTCTAAGTGAAGGCAGGCAGGTAGGGATGAGGGGAATGTCTGGAAAGGGGCAAAAAGAACTTCTTGAGATGTTAATGACCTATATCTTGATAAGTGTTTTGTTATCACAAAAGTATATGAATTTCTCAAAATTTGTTGAATAGTATACTTAAGATTTATACATTTAACTGTAAATTTAACCTCCAAAAAAAAAAAAAGACCAGTTAATTAAAATGTGAACTCTAGATAACAATATGCACCTGAAGCCTAGAGGTAAAGTGTACTAATGTCTGTAAGTTACTTTGAAAGGCATCAAAAACATTGGTGCATTGATAAACAAGAGGGATGTTTGATGGACAGATATGTGATAAAGCAAATGAACAAAATATTATAGAACCTAGATGGTAAATATGTGAGTGTCCACTGCATAACTCTTTCAACTTTTCTATACATTTGAAATTTGTCATGTTATAAAAAAAAATGAACTAAGCACCTTTTACATGCTAGGTTTTGTGCTAGGTGTCAGACATTGTTTCTGTCTCAAAAGTTCATTGGCTAACAGAAACTCACTGTCTAGTGTAAAATAAAGATATGTTTTATACCTATATATGCTTATTAAAGTTCCCTATTTTTTTAAGATAATACTTTTTCAAATGAAATAAAATTTAAATATCATAAAATTCACCCTTTAAAGGAGGATAAGTCAGTGGTTTTTAACATAGTCACAACTTGTGCAACCATCAAATTTTAGAACATTTTCATCACCCCAAAAAGAAACCTACCTATTTGCAGTCATTCTTTCATCCCCCTAATCCACTGGTTACTAACCTACTTTCTGCTTCTACAGAATTGCCTATTCTGGACATAACATATAAATGAAATCACACAATATGTGTTCCTTTTTGACTGTCTGTTTTCACTTAAGATAGTGTTTTCAATGTACATCCATGTTATAGCATGTACAAAAGTACTTCAAAAGGCTCGTGGAAAAACAGAGTTAATAGATAATATGAATCTTTCCATGAACTTTGTGAAGTACCCCCATATCAGTATTTCATTCCTTTGTATGGCTGAATAATATTCCAATGTATAGATATACCATAATTTGCTTTTCCATTCATCAGTTGATGAACATCTGGGTTGTTTCCAGTTTTTGGCTGTTATAAATAATGCCGCCATGAACATTAATATACAAGTTTTTATATAGACATATGTTATAAATTCTCTTGATATATATCTAGGGGTGGAATTGCTAGGTCACATGTTTACTCTATGTTCAACGTTTTCGTTCTTGCCAGATTGTTTTCCAAAGTGGCTATACCATTTTACATTCCCACAAGAAACATATACACGTTCCAATTTCTCCACATCCTCACCAACACTTATTATGTGTCTTTTTGATTACAGTCATCCTAGTGGCTGTGAAACGGTATTTCATTGTGGTTTTGATTGTGTTCCTTTCATGGCTAATGATATTGAGTATCTTTTCATGTGCTTTTTGGCCATTTGTTTATCTTCTCTGGAGAAATGTCTATTTGCCCATTTTTTTAATTGGTTATTTGTTCCTAAATTTCAAACACCCTTCTCCTAAGGCTCTACCCGTGGAAATTAATCATCTTCTTAAAACTCTTCCCGAGTCTCAGACCCAATACCAAGTCAAAATCAAGCATTCCTTTCATCATCTTTCTACTTCAGATCATTCACACTTTTATTTATCAAATTTCCTACCATTCTACTGTATATCAGACTTAACTAACTGATCACATGTCTGTCCACCCCACTATACCTTATGACTTTAAGGGAAGGGAATACAACACATTGATCTTTGTGTTTTCTCACATTACCAACAATTATGGCTTGCACACAATAGTCTTTAGTTAAATTGTAATGAACTGAATAACTGCATTAACCCACTAAGTATCCTTCAATGAAACACACATTTCATTAATAGTACTAAATTGTTGTTGAGGCTTTGCAGAAAAATTACCAATACTATAATTTACTAGGAAGTCTTAAGGTTGCACTACTTTATCTTCTATAAAATGTATATTCTGAACACTTATACCTATTAAAATTATTAAAGTTATTTTTAGTATAAAGAAAAATGTCAGAATAGTATTTATCATGTAGATAAAATCTTGGTGTCAAACAATCAAAATACAATCACCACCATCACATTAGAACACTATAAAACTCAATCTAATGTATTTTTCAAAGCTTCCCAGTGATGAAAACACTTTGTAAGAACAATAGGTCTAAAATAAAGGTATTGTTATTACTTACCTGTAATGTTTCCTAACACATCTTTATTGTGACAGGCAGGATCCTCTGTTTCTCCATCTTTAAAATTTCCTATTTCTCCATAGTAAAGAGCAATCCCAAGTTGCATTATACGGATAAACATAGGCAGTTGTTGATCTGTGATAGAAAGTTTCAAACTCTCTACTAAAGTATGAATCTGTATTTTGAAAAAATAAAAATATCAACAAAAGCATGTTTAAAAACAGTACATTATAAGTAGAGAAATTTTAAAAGCCTTAAAATGAAATATCATAAAAGAAATACTAACATCTCAAACATTTCTAATATTTAAACCAAAATAACATTTACTCTAAAACCTTAGGAATTAAAATTTGCTATGATGATCAATAAACTTTAGATTGCAATATATTAAACCAAATGATGTAAATGCAAGTAGAATTAATAATAGGAAGATATATTCACATTTAATTTCCAGAAAACTATTACAGAAGGAAATTAAGTTATATAACCAAATGCCTATTCTATAACATTAAGAATATGATACTAATCCCTCCCCCAAAAATCAGAAAATTTTCTGTCAAAGCCAAGAATAATAAGAGTTTCATGATATCATATTAGTAGAACTTTAATCGCTCTTTCCAGCTTTCTTAACCTAAAAGAATACACATATATCATAAAACCATATGTTAAGTGGGGAAACAACTAACATTGTAACTACAGAAGTATGGAAATAATAAAATTTTTATTGCCAAATATGGAAAATCAAGTGAAATATACATTCAAGAAAGTTTTTCAGACAAGTTTTAAATAAGAAATTTTAAAATGACATAAAATTTATAACATGAGTCAACTATAAGAAAGAAATAAGATTAATTACTAGGAAGTAGGACATATAGCAATCAAAGTTCTCCTTAAAGAAAGAGACATCAACGGAATATAAACACAGCTTCAGTGTAATGGTTTCCTGCTGTTATAAAAACATGGAATAAAACCAATTAAGGCACAAAGTCAAGTCTCTTAGAAAGTTTATTTTGACTAACTAGTATTTGAGTGTCTATAAAACACAGACAAAAAAGTACTGGTAATCATCATATTTTTAGAGCTCAAAGCACAAAAAAATTGTATTTGAAGAAAGTTGTATAGAGGAAAGGTGTGAAATACCATATTTTAAACACAAGCACAAGTTTCTTAGAACTGACCTAAAAATCATACACTGAATAAACCATGAAGAGGCAAGAAAATGGGGCAGGGGTGGGGATTATGCAGGCCTGCTAAGCTTTTCTTTTTTTTTTTTTTTTCCTTTTTGTCTTTTTTACTGACCGGTAATGGGATCGCAACCCTCGGTGTCGCGCCCGTACTGGGGACCAGCAACGGAATCGCAACCCTCGGTGTTGCGCCCGCACCGCGCTTAGCCAGTGAGTGGGAACTGGTCTCCACATGGGATCCGAACCCTCGGCGGGAGCGCCACTGCGCTCCCAAGCGGCGCACTCTCCAGTGCACCACCGGGCCGGCCCCTAAGCTTTTCTTAATTTGAGATTCTGTGTCACATTCTCTTAAATATTGTCCTGCACTGATCGCACCAGTGATAAGCAGATAAGCACTCTTAGCAAACCCAATGATAAAGAATCTATCCTTTAAATATATCTGTATAATAGTATATATATATATATATGTATATATGTATGTGTATATATATATATATATATATATGTATGTGTATATATATATATATATATATATAAATCTTTAAAATCAGAAAGAAAAGATTAATCCTCAATAGAAAAAATGGACAATGAACCTGAATGGATAATTCAAAGAACAAATGGCCAGTGAATATATTTTCAAAATCTAACATCACTAATAAACGTCAATTAAATTATATGTATACATATATTTTTTGCTCAAGTTGGCAATTTTTTAATATGATCATATTTAAGGACAGCAAGAATGTAATATATAGGTACTCCCTTTAATGTTCACAGGAGTATATCCTTGTTAAAACTTTCTAGAAACAATTTTGCAATCCAGACCACAGGCCTTAAAAGTGTTTAACAGGATATTTGCAATTATAGAAATCTTTCCTGGGCCGGCCTGGTGGCGCACTGCTACAGTGCGCCGCTTGGGAGCGTGGTGGCACTCCCGCCGAGGGTTCGGATCCCACATACAGACCGGTTCCCGCTCACTGGCTGAGCGAGGTGTGGGAGCAACACCGAGGGTTGCGATCCCGTTGCCGGTCCCGGTCCGGTACGGGCGCAACACTGAGGGTTGCAATCCGTTGCCGGACACGAAAAAAGACAAAAAAGCAAAAAAAAAAAAAAAAAGAAATCTTTCCTACGGAATTAATCAGAGGTGTGGGCCAAGATTTATGCACAAACTTTTATTCTGAAACACTGCAAAGTAAATTTCTAAAACTAGGGGAAATGTTAAATAAATTGTGTACCTAGATGATCTGTAACTCATAAATGTTATAATCTCTATTCACACACAAGATAGAAAATTATGAAAAGTCAACCCAAAATATTAATAAATTCAAAAGCCATTTAAACAAACATACAAGAAAGACTTAAAAAAATAGGATATCTGGAACACTTTGGGAAAACCCCCATTTTTGAGGTGATCAATGAAGTTAACAACATCCTTTTTTTTTTTTTTTTTCCTGACCGGGAGGGGGATTGCAACCCTCGGCACAGTGTTGTCCGCACCACACTCGGCCAGTGAGAGCTCTGGCCATCCCTATATAGGGTCCGAACCCACGGCCTCAGGTGGTACCAGAGCCGCACTCTCCAGAGTGAGCCACCAGGCCAGCCCAACAACATCCTTTTAATATATATTTCCTAGGAGTAGGAGGTTGGAAGAATGATGGGTCCAACCCCAAATGGCAAATCTTACATTATAATAATATTAATAAACTACTCAAAAATTAATTTCAGCTCAGCATAACATAATGATGTCTCATATTTGGTGATTACTAGAGTAAAAAGCCACATGTCAACAACCTTATTTATGTTAATGCACTTTTTACAATGAAATGTCATGGCTAATCAATTTTGAGAACACAAATTAATAGGCCAACACTAAGTTTTTCCTCAATTTCATTTATTTTTACTTTCCTCTAATTTAGCCACATCCTGGAATGGACAATTAAATTTGCACTAATGATGAATAAGATTAACTTATATAGTAAAGCTTACATATATCCATTACTTGCTTTCAAAATACATCTTGATGGGCTGAGCCCGTGGCGCACTCAGGAGAGTGCGGTGCTGGGAGTGCAGCAGCGCTCCCGCCGCGGGTTCGGATCCTATATAGGGATGGCCGGTGCGCTCACTGGCTGAGCGCAGTGCGGCCGGTCTCAAAAAGGACAAAAAAAAAAAAAAATACATCTTGAATGTATCTTCATATTATCTGACTTTACTAGCAGATCCAAGACTAAAGAAGTAAGCCCATTACCCTGAGACAGAGATACCAATACTATTGAGTTAATACTTTTCCATGCTTATCTTTGCCAAAGAAGCTAATTCAAAAATAGAAGGAAAAAGTAACAGAATTTGAACAAACCAATGTGCATTATACACAGTGGGGGAAAAAAAAGCAAAACACAGATGACTAAGCACTACCAAGGAAAACAAGAAGATTTTAGACATAAATACAAATTTAAGTATGGCATGGCTACATAAAATAGAAAGTGTTATATGTTTTAATAAAACATAATGCAAAAAGAACAAAACTGGGCAGGCCAGTTAGCTCAGTTGTTTAGAGCACAGCCTTGTACACCAAGGTCAAGGGTTCATATCCCCGTACCGGCCTGCAGCCAAAAAAAAAAAAAAAAGAAAAACTAATTTTTATACAGCCATACTCAACCAGGCAAAGTGGTCAATACCAGTGTTCAGACTTAGGGCAGGCCAGTCCTTCCATCACAGAATTTTGTCAGAGGAGAGAAAGTCAAGAATAAAAATTTATTCCACATTAGTTAACAAGATCACAAGTCACTGTGTGAATTCTTTATCCAAGATACACTGACAGACAGATAAGTTTCCGAAAAATGGTAAATAACAACAGGTGCTAAGATTTACACTTAAAGACTAACTATACACATTGAAAATATATACTACTACCCTAGGGAACAACAAACTTTCACATTTATCATAAGATATGTCCTAAAAAATTACCATACTCTAAGATTTTAATTACATTTTGAAACCACAGATCAAAAGCTAAAAACTTCTTGAACCGATAAACTATTAGGTTAGCCTATCAAGCTTTATAAAGTTATCTAAGAAAGAGAAAAGAAAATATCCATAGTTATGAGATTATGCTAAATAAATTACAAGGACTGAAATATAGATTACTGATATTCAGTTCACTGTGGGTATAAATATACCTTTTTATATGACCTCCTCTACCTACCTGAAGAGAGAAACACTAATAAACAGCTGAATAAACTAAAAAGGTTTCCATACAATATCTCTATTAGAACACATTATACCAAGAGTTATAAATACAATAATATAAACATAAAAATCATAAATATAAACAAAACTTCTTTACAAAAAAGCAGTATATAGGCTTATGCAGTTAACTTCTTGATTTTTTAATAAGAATTAGCATGCATAAGAACCAATAAACAAAAAAGATACATGCAACTAATTACTAGAAAAAGAGATACCTACTTTAATAACAGATGGCATCTTTGAATTTAGGTTATCATATGTAAAATGCAGACGAGTTCTGAAGGAACATTTGTACAATAAAGGATCCTGGTAAAATTCTATTTTACCACTGGCATTTCGTTTATCAAGACAAACTGTACAGTCAGAAAAATTGATAACCTTTCTCAGCACCAGATCAGTCGCTAAAATGAAAAGAAAAACATTTTAACTAAAAAGTAAAATGAAAGAAAAAAGGCAACTATTATTTATTAGACAAACAGGAATCAAAAAAAAAAAAGAGCAGCAAGTACAATTCATGGAGCACTTAATACACGATGCCAGACCCTATGCAAAGAACTTCTCATTTAAATCTTCCAACGAACTTATGAAACAGACACAATTATCCCCATTTTCTGTATGAAGAATCAAAGGCCTAAGTAGCTTACTCCAATTTGCATAACACCTAACTACAAATTGAGGACAAAATTTATGAAAAATTTTTCTATAATTCTTTTCTGCAATACATAATAATAAAATAAAATTTTTAAGAATCCATTTTTAAAATAACTTTTTGAACAATAGTCACTAATTTATTATGTATTTCACACTATAAAACTCATTGCAACTCTAAAGCTGTGCTGTCCAATAAGGTAGCCACCAGCCATATGTTGTTATTTAAATTAATTAAAATTATATAAAAATATAAATTCAGGTTCTTGGTTGCACTAGTCACATTTCAAGTGCTCAACAGCCACCTGTGGCTAGTGACTACAGTACTGGACAGTGAAGATAAAAAATATTTCCGTCATCCCAAAAAATTCTGGTGGACAGCACTGCTATACCAGTAAAAAATGAAGAAACAACCAAGAGCAGTCTAAAGTTTATTTTCAAAGGAACAAAAATAAAACAATTGGTGGTAAACTATCAAACTAGGAAACAAAATGACTCTAGCAAATGACTAATTTTATTCCTAACTTATAAGCAATTTCTAAGTAATATCAGGCCCAAATCCACTTGCCCAGTGATTTTAAGTTAGCAGCTACCCATGCACTATGGCCATGGGACTCTTCAAAACAATAAACTATGGTCCACTCCATGGTGACACTATTTCTGAGTATACCCTGGCAACATCTATCCAATTCAACCTCTTAATTTTCTATTCTTTCTTTTTGGAGTTAAGTTTTTAAGAAGTAAAAATTAAAGAAAATGCTTATTTGTCAAAATAGTAAAGTTGCACTAGCAGATAAATTTCACATTTGTCTGTTAGTTGAAAAACCATATGAACTTACCATATTATTTCAACTTTAAATATTATATGAATATATGATTTATGATTTACTTATCAATACTGTATACATGTACACAAATTAAGAAATTACAATAGTAGGACTAGAAATGAAAGCAACCTTAAGAAATCATCTAGGTGTTTCCTTCCCTCTCTTCATGACAATAATAATTATCATTTACTGAGTATTTGCTATTATTCAGACACTATAAGTCTTTTATATCCCTTATCTAATAATATTTACATGGACCTGAGAAAACTGAGGCACAGTAAGAATAAATAACTTGTCTAATGCTAGACAGTTTATAAAGAGCACAGCTGTAATTCAAACTCTGACAACCGTTCTGCAGAGTGCATGTTCTTACCCATTATGCTGCAAGAATGTAAACCTTTCACATTTCAAGGATATTCTAGAAAATTATTATTCAGTGAGAATTGTTGAGATTTGAATTCTGATTTGAGCATCACATATTTCACACAGGTATACAACTCTGTACACCACAGATACAATCAACTATGTTTCAATTAAAAAATAAATTTAAAAAATTTTTTAATTAAAAAAATGTTTTCTGTTAAACACTAAATATAATAGCAACTATGTATCTTTTAAAAACTTACAGAATGAATTCTAGTTCTAGTACTCACTACAGAAATGTGCAATTTTTTCCTGTAAAATAGGGATAATGATGATGTCTACCCAATAAGCACTCTGGAAAATGATTTGGCATTATCTTGAAAATAGAAACATTTGTATATCCTCCCACCTAACAAACGTACTCCCAAGTATATATTCTAAAGAAACACTTATACATATACATCAAAAAATATGTACAAAAAGATTCATAATAGCACTGTTTGTAATAGCAAAAATCTGGAAACAACCCAAATGCCCATCACTGGGAGAACAGATAATTAAGTTTTGGCATATTTAAACAGTAAAATATTATTCCCTAGTAGAAATGAGTGATCTATGAGGCTGGCCAGCTAGCTAAGTTGTTTAGAGAGTGGTGCTAATAACACCAAGGTCCAGCATTCGATCCCTATGCTGGCCAGCCACCAAAAAAAAAAGAAAAAGGAAAAAGAAATGAGTGATTTACAATTATATTCAACAATACGAAAAAATACTAAAAGCATAGTATTAATTGAAAACAGCAAACCTCAAAAGACAACATACAGAATACTATTTTTACAAAGCTCAAAAACATGTGTAACCAAGTATATTATTTATGTAGAAATTCATACCTGATAAGACTTATTGAGGTAAAATTCAGGTAACAAAAAATTAACAAATTTAAAGTATACAATAGAATGGAACTCAAATGGGATTCAATACATTCACATAGCTGTGCAACAGTCATCACAATCAAGTTTTGAACTTTTTTATCACCTCAAAAAGAAATTCCGTGCCATTTAGCTATCACCCCTACAATCTGCTCATTGCTCCCCCTAATCCCTAACTACTCGCTAATTTATTGTCTGTCTATACAAGGGTACTTCAAAAAGTTCATGGAAAAATATAATCAAAAGATAATATAAATCCTTCCATAAACTTTTTCAACTACCCTTATACAGATTTGCCTATTCTGAATAATCCGTACAAATGGAATCTAACAATATGTGGCCTTCTGTGTCTGGCTCCTTTCATTTAGCATAATGCTTTTGAGAGTCATCCATGTTGTGGCATGTATCAGTATTTCACTCCTTTTTATAGCAGATCTTTTTCTAAGAGAATGATAAAATGTAAAACAATGGTTAACTCTAGGAGGAAGCAAGGGGATAGGACAGGGAAAAGCACATTGGTTGGGACAAACTATTAATGTTCTAGTTACTCAGACAGGAGGTGCTTATATTGTTTTATAACAAATATATGTTACATAAATTCCTTTGTGAATATCATATGTTGCATTGAAAATTAATAAAAGGGAAAAGAATAGTCTCTACCTCAGAGGGTTAAAGGATTAAACGTAAAAGATACAAAATCAGACCTGGCAATTAACAAGCACTCAATAAATTGAAGATACTATTTTTACTGTCTTTATCACCACCATCATCATGAGCTTTCATATAGTATCATATTTAATTTTCACAAATCACTGGCAGATTAGCAGCAGTGACAATTCACATTTTACAAATGACTCATCCAAAGTTGCACTAAATTAGTGGTCAAACAAGATCCTCCAACTCTCAATCCAGGACTCCTTCTAATTCACTATAAACAATTTCCCAAGTAATATGTGCATTACTTCTATATTAAAACTAAAAATGAAATTTCTTCACCTAAAATATCAACTTGTTCATTCAATCCTGCATTATCCCAGTTCTATTTGTTTTCTTTTTATTTTCCATAGCTTATTCTCCTGGCCTTTTTGACAAATATTTCCTTCCACAAAGGATGAGGGGAGGCATTAATGATGTATAAGAAATGATGCTTGGGCCTTTGCATACACTCTTATTTATGCCTTGCTACAAAACTGTGAGATCAGGATTGCTCTCCATTTTTAAAATGTGAAGACTGAAGTTTGGGAAACACACAAAAATCAAACTGTATTCCAGTTCTGCTAGTTCCCAGTTGTATGCTTTAACTAGGCAAGTTATGTACATTTGAGACTCAATTTCACTTTGCTTTAACCCTTTAACTGGGACTTATGATGAATAAATGAATATATGACTAAATGAATGAAAATAAAAATATCATTTTATGGAGTTATTGTAAGAATTAGAGAAAATGAATGTTAATAATAATAGCAGGAGCTTATTTTCTGTGCACTATGAACAGGACAGTTTTACAAGTCCTTTCAGTGCATTAACTTATTTAATAAAATAATAAAATATATTCGATAAGTGAGGTCCCATTTTATCCCTGTTTTACAAATGAGGAAGCTAAGAAATAAAGAGGTAAAGTAACTCAACCAAGGTCATATATCTACTAAGTTGGAGAGCGAGGATTCAAAATCAGTGCCAGCACTTTTAACAAATACATAGCATGGCAAGTAACACATGAAAGGTGCTCACAATAGTCCCTTTACTGTATTTTCCAAAAATACTCATTCCTTACACTATAAGAAAATGTACCAACAAATATTATGACTTATTTAATATCTCTCCTGACAAAATTTAAGAAGCAGTGCCTACCACATAAAACATAAGTAAAATAGTAATAAATAAATGGTAGTTATTAAAATTATATTACTGTTTAGTGGTTCTTTAAAGATAAGCAGAAAAATGCAGCAAATAAAAACTAAAAAGAGGCTTCAAGATAATCAAAAAATTCAAAATATGCTCTGGCATATACAAGCCTAAAACATAAATCAATCAGATATATTGTTTGCCATTACCAAGCTACTTTAAAAGCAACATGCTCCCTTTCTGCCTCAAAACCATTAAAAATTCAAATTCTATATATTATTTAATTTTTATTGCTACAACCCATGGTACTTCAAAATATTACACATCACATTTGAAGCAAGCATGTGATAGGTAAAAAAAGAATAAAAATTAAGAATATTAAGAAACAAGTCTGGGGTTTCTTAATCTGGGGGTTTATTAACCTCCTCTAATTACATGCTAACTTTTGTACATGTGCATATTTTCCCAGGCTGGAGTCATAAAACTTTCATTAGTTTTATCAGAGAGCCAGGTGGCCCAACAAAGGCTGAGAATCAAGGCAACCGTTTCAATTATGGAAAAATATACACTATTTTTGACATTTACTCACCAGAAATATCCATGAATGCACGATCCCATAATTCACCTACTGTATAGCATTCTGCAGAAGTGATGTTGACTGAAAGAACAATATCATCTTCAACATATTTTAGTATGAGATTATTTATAACAATATTTACATTATTTACAACTCGTCTAATCAGACTCTGCACATAACCTATAAAACAGAAGAAAAAAGGATTCAATTAGCCACAAGTGTATCAATAAATAATTATTTATTAAATTATTTAACTGAAAGTATGTGAAATGTGGGATTTAGCATAGTTTGCCAATAGAAAACTAAAGTCGAGATAGGTTAAAAGGCTTGCCAGAGCCAATAAGTAACAAATACAGCCCAACAAAACTCATTATCAAGAAATTCTATAACTAAGACAAATCACAGAGACCATACCTTTTTAGTAACATAATACTAGATCCCATATAATGATTATCCTATATTATAAGCACTTTGCCTGATTTCTGCTTATTTTATAAACATTTTCCAAAATGAAACAATACTACTGTATTGTATATTATACAATATATTAGAAAATGAGCTTCTTTAAGCTTTTTGAACTAGCTACCATCATCTCTTCCTACTTTGGCCATAAAAATATTCAAAAGTTATGCCTGGGGAAACAAAGATAGGAGAAGCAAGACCATCATGATGGACTGAAGTATATTCACTTACTAATACACAATTTTAAGCAGAGTAGAGGACAGAATATGAATGAAAAAGAAAATGTAGACAGGAAGAGTTAAGAAAGATTTTAAAAAGAATGCAATGAAGATGATATAGAAAACAACAAAAGCTAATGTATGGAAGGAAACACATTGAATAAAAGTAGAATGACAACACAGGGAAATAAAAAAGACAAACTGAAAAAATGATTTTTAAAAACTAACTCAAAACAAAAAAAAGTAAATAGTGAACATTCCAAACAAGCGATGGAAAAAAAAGAATCTCCAAAAATTTCAATTTCATGCTACTGTGGAATACTTCACAATCTTATAAGTCTTTCACATAAGTGTATACACAGATACATTATTGAGAAATTTAAAAATATAAATAAAACTAATTAAATATAAACAGCATTTTTAAAAAAGACAGGAGAAAAAGATACAAAAACTTTTCCACTATAAAAATCTATTTGAAAGGTAATACAAATTCCACTATTTTAAAAAAATCTATTTAAATAGTAATTAAAAATTTAGTTATTTCATTAAACGAACATATGCTTGTATTCTTTAAACCAGAACTTTGCTTGACAAAACAGAATCAACTTCTGTCAGCAACTGACATTGTTAACACCTACACTAAAGCCTGCTGGGAGAAAGCTCATTTAAATCTATTCAACCATAACATGTTTGCAAAAACCAACTCCTTCATTCATCCCCAGTGATGCAAACAGGAAAGAAACATAATATGACTTAGGTTCAAAGTTTTCTCCTATATGGAGAAACTATTAGCAGCTTTTGGAGTGCCAATTATCATATGCTATAAAATTAACATACAAAAATGAATAGATTTAAAGTAATGAATACTCTTTTATGAGCATAGATGCTAAAATAATTCTCAAGTATCAAAATATTCAAGTTTAGAATGTACATTACTCCTTCATGTTATTACTACTCAACACAGATGTTAAAAATAAATGTTTCTAAGTCAAACATGACTAATGTTGGTTCCTATTTCTCAAAAACCTGTCATCAATACAGAACTCATTAAAATCACTTGAGTTCATGAGTTTTTATATTCTTCCAAACAAGATAAAAGACAGCACTAAATAAAATGTATAATGCAAAGTAACAGAAGCATAATACGTATTTTAACTGATAGAACACTACTGATGAATTTTTCGTCTATTTTTAAACATTTTCCCTCAGTTTATCCTTATAAAACTGATATACAAATTGAGATAAGCCAATTCACCAAAGTAAAAGAATCAAATATTTAAAAAGAACTACTTCTGTACAAGACCATTTATGTTTCTTCATTAAAAATGCAAAGTAAGTAATAGGGACTTATCAATGGAATAAATGATAAACCATCTCTATAATCCTTCATAATATCTTGGTTCTAAGCAAGCTACAGGATAGTGTCAAACAGATCTAACAGCTCTCATCATTCCATATTTAGAGACTTCCCTGGGAAGACATCCCTTAAAATAACATAATAATAATTCAGGTCTACCCCACAGGCATCTGAAAATGGAAGGTCACCCTGGGAATGAAAATCTACAGGATGTAATTTTAGATGGCTCTAAAACAGCCTGTTACTAGTTAACCTTTCCAGAAATTCTTACTATCCACCTGACTCCTACCCACAAACCCCATTCCTCTAAACACATACATCTAAGTCCACAAGACCAAACGAAAACACTGTAAATTATCTACTGACTTTGCTCAAGTTTTTCCTTGTTTAGAATACTTCTTATCCATTCTCCCTTCTTGTTCAGGCCCAATATAATTGTCTCCTCCCCTAAATCCTCTTCTCCAGTGTCCCTCACTGTACACATCAACACCAACAACAACTGTCTCTACCACTTTTCTTGGGCTTATGTTACTACTGTCATTTATGTATATGTATACTTATTTTCTCTGATAAACTTTGAAATCCTAGAGGAAAAACTGTATCTTATTTATTTCTCTAATAGTCTTAAATTAAATGGCATACATAAAATAATTTTGGTTACAAAGAGACATCATCTGCAATTGATTCATCCTGATGTAGTCACTGGGAAACCACATTCCTCACAATGAGAAATTCCACGGTTGATGATTTGGTTGTAGTACCTCAAAACATCTTAGTCAAGTTTTTGGTGTTAAATTTATTCAGGGTTATGTAGCATCATACGGGCAACTCTAACTTAAAGGGAAAATAAGTTATTTATTATATTCTTGCCTTTTTTGGAAGACTGAAATTGTTTCAAAATAAAAACTTTTTAAAAGGAAAAAAATGGGCCGACCCTGTTGCGCACTCGGGAGAGTGCAGCGCTGGGAGCGCAGCGACGCTCCCGCCGCGGGTTCGGATCCTATATGGGAGTGGCCGGTGAGCTCACTGGCTGAGCGCGGTGCGGACAACACCACGCCAAGGGTTGCGATCCCCTTACTGGTCACAAAAAGGACAAAAAAAAAAAAAAAAAAAAAAGGAAAGAAATAAGGAATCTACCATCAGTGCTGTAGATAGCTCCAATAAAACACAATATTTTGGGGGCCGGCCCGGTGGCGCACTGCTACAGTGCGCCGCTTGGGAAGCGCAGTGGCGCTCCCGCCGAGGGTTCAGATCCCACATACAGACCGGCCGCTCACTGGCTGAGCGAGGAGCAGGGGCAACACCGAGGGTTGCGATCCTGTTGCCGGTCCCGGTCCGGTACAGGTGCGACACTGAGGGTTGCGATCCATTGCCGGTCACGAAAAAAGACAAAAAACAAAAAAAAAAAACACAATATTTTAAAGAATTCATCAGATTTGATAACCAGACAACAATTTAGGTCAACTACTGCAGGAGCTAAGGAAAATAGCTGTGCATTGAGGATACTATCAGCATTATTATGTAAGATGGTCACAGAAGTTCTAGACAACTAAAAGAGGAGAAAAGAGAGAAATAAGTATAGTACTGGTAAGGAGGACATAAAATCATCATTTCACAAAGATGACAGTATTTTTATATAGAAAATCCAGGGGGCCGGCCTGTGGCTCACTCGGGAGAGTGCGGTGCTGATAACACCAAGGCCACGGGTTCGGATCCCATATAGGGATGGCCAGTTTGCTCACTGAGTGAGCGTGGTGCTGACAACACCAAGTCAAGGGTTAAGATCCCCTTACCGGTCATCTTTTAAAAAAAAAAGAAAGAAAATCCAAAAGAAGCAACTGAAAGATGCTGAATACTGATCAGCTAACAGAATATATTAGCTTTCCTACACAACAAAGTGATAAAAAGAAAATAAAATGGTAAAAATGGCAATCCCAATTCGCAATGTAATATATGAGATAGCATTTTCCATCTATAAAAGTTTCAAAAAAATGTTTTTTAATAATAAAAATCAGCATAGGACCAAAGATGTACTTGGAAGAAAGTATTGTTACATACTTTTCACAGAGTAATTTGGCCACACATGCCAAAAATCTTTAAATTACTCATAAATTTTGATTCTATAAATTGGTAAGAATTTCTCCTAAAGAAATAGAGGTGCATGCAGAGATTTACCTACCAGTGTGTTTTTTAAAGCATTTTACAAAACTGAAAATGACAACCTGATCATCAAACAAAAAGGGATTGGTTGAACAAACTGTGGAATAGTTATACAATGGAATACATGCCAGTGATTAGAATAACATTGCAAAAACTACTATGACCTAGAAAACAGGTTTCTGGAACAACATTAAATAAAAAATCCAGGTTACAAAAGAAAGTGTGTGTGTACCATAAAGAGTCTAAAAGATGGTACACCAAAATGTTAACATGTTCCAGTTCTGGGTGAAATAAAGAAAGCACTCCACCCTATCTTTCCCAGGGAATGCAGCAATAAAACCTGGAGAGAAAGTATGGAGCAGCTACTTTGGGACTCAAAAGTAAATAGTAGGCATGAGAGGGAAAACAGGAATGAAAATCAGAGCTTACAAAGATAAAGCCAAAAATAAAATGGTGGATGTAAATTCAAACATATAAAAAATTACATTCTAATTTAATTGCACTGTGGTCAGAGAGGATAATATATATGGTAGTGATTCTTTGAAATTTGCTAAAACTTCCTTTTTGACCACGACTTTGTCAATGTCTGTAGATATTCAATATATGCTTCAAAAGAATGTACACTGTCTTATCTGCTGGGTGAAGAGTTTTACATGTATTGTAAAACAATCTTGGTAAATATGAAATTCAAAGATCCAATTTGGGGCTTTGTTTTTCTGTGTGATCTACCACATTTCAAGGCTAGGTTGTTGGGTGCATACAAATCATTGTATATTATGTGTAGAACTGTACCTTTTATTATAATTTAGTATCTCTATTACGTATCTCCATTAATGCTTTTTGCCTTTAGTTTTCTTTTGCCTCATTTTTATACTAAAAGTACAAACTTATTTTCGGATAATATTTGTCTGTTATGTCATTTACTTTCCTTTCATTTACAATCATTCTTGCTTCTTTGTTTTATATGTGTGTTTTGATAGCCAAACACACCTGAACATAACTCCTTCCTTGTTAGTGCCCAAAATATATATTATCTGTGCTTTGTGAGAACTCCTCCTCCTACTTTGGCTTTGCACAAGGGTTGGTAATTTACAAAGTCTTCTATACTAAATAGTTAATTATTTTAGGGCAAAGATAGACTTTAATGAGCTGCTCTAGCATATTCTCACTCACACAGCAATACAGATTTAGGAAACTGAACAGCCTGCCTCTGCTAAGCAACATTTTGAAATTCAATCTAATTAAAATGAAATAAAGGCTCTTTAATTATCATCTTTCCTGTAATAAACAAAATGGAAATATCAGATACCTTGAAGATTAAGAAAACAATAGCTTGAAGCATAATCTATTTAAAAATGGAGATAAATTAATGAGAAAGAACACCTGGATGGCTTCCAAGTCATACATAATGTCCCTGAAAACAGTTTTCCTCAATGAAATTTAAGCAAAAGAGTATGTATCACTTCCAGCCTGGGGCTATTAAGAAGTACACAGTCTTCTCCAGATTCTTTCCTCACAGAAGAGCTGAAAGCAGCAGAATCCAAACTCTGATCTAGAGGATACCAGAGCTTCAAGGTTTAAGTAGTCTGAGTTTCTGGTACAGCACCGTCTATGAACTGGTACATAAAAACCAAAATAACACTTCTGTTTTGTTAAGCCACTGAAATTACGAGGTTAACATGTCTACCAGTTAACATTACCCTAACTTACACAGTTTGTCACTGTTATTAAAAAAAATATTTTTAAGTTCTACCAAAAAACTGAAATAGATGTTAAAACAATAAAACCATTAAAATGGTAAAACATAAAAATAGAAAATATGAAATAAGTTATGCATTTTTTAAAATCATTTGCAACATTGTCTTCTCTACTCTTAGATATCCCAGAAAGGAACAGCTTTAAATTTTTGTACCCAATAGGCAAATTGAAAGAAAATGTTTGCACTATTTTCTGTAACAATATACTGACATTTTCGACTATGGTTCTTGAATAGTTGATATATTACAATATTATCAAATTATCTGAGATATCCTCCAATGATAAAGCTCTATTCAGGAGATTTTTATAAAACCAATCCCTAAAAGCCCAAGATGGCAAGCATTTAGGCACATACACACATACACACACACACACACACACACACACACACATAGTCCTCTATTTCATACATGACATTTTCTATAGAAAACAGAAAAATGTTTCTACTTTCTCATTCACAAAATATGGGCCAGATCAGAGGCTTAAGCTGGGACCTATGGATGGACTTCAGCCTGTATGTGAATACCCTAAAGTTATATGCAAATTTTGAATCTGCATATGTGGGTCTACAATTTTTCCACAGATTTTCAAGGATCCATGACCTAAAAAAGACTGACAAACCAGAAAATCTCAGATAACTTCTTATTCCAAATCTCAGTGACTCTATGAATCTGACTATGTAAACCTGAGGAAAATACTGTGTGATGTTGTACAGCTTAGTGAACACATAAATGCGTATTATGAACCAGACATTGTATTAGATCAGGGGCCACCAAAAGAAGGCCTGTGCCATCTGGTTTTGTAAATAAAGTTTTATTTGAATACAGCCATGTTCATTAGTTTATTAATCCGTCTATGGCTAGGTTTGTGCTACATCAGATGACATAGTTATAACAGAAAACATGGCTTGCAAAGCTTAAAATATTTACTAACTGGCCCTTCACAGAAAATGCTTGCTAGCCCCTGTACTAGATGATGAAGACCAAAGATGACTAAATCACACCTTCTAACCCAGTGGGCAAAGTCTTTAATTTAAGTACATCCTAAACATTTCCATTAAAGTGTGTGTGTGTGTGTGTGTGTGTGTGTGTGTGTGTGTGTGTGTGTGTTGTAGTGTATACATACATATACATATATACACATATTCTGAATAAAAGGGTAAGGAGAAGAAAGGAAAGAAACAGGAAGCTATGCAACGGCACACAAAATTTGTCTCTGAGCTTTCTAGCAGGCAAGAAAAGTAGGGAATTTTTTTTAAATGAGTAACTATTAAGATAAAACATACCCTTTAATTAGGAGACACTGAAAAAATTAAAGAACAATGTCCTTTAAAGCCATTTTTGTAAAGATGCAGAAGCATATCACAAATTGCTGCTTCTTATAGTATCTTAACAATAAAAGTCAAAGGCTACATAACTTAGAAAGTATAGAACTGAATAATCCAGGTATCAAGCTTAGAAGCAGTCTCAACTTACACTGAGATAAAGTCCAGAAATTATTGAGGAAAGCATGAATAAAGAAATAAATAAATAACACATCCTTAAACTCTCTAAGTAGTACTTATCAGCATATCAACAGGATATGCTCAACCCACAATTCAAAACTATTACCATTAAGCAGTAATTGAAGTTCATGGCTGATAGCTAATATATCATTAAATAAAAGAAAATGTGTATACTTCAAAGTGGTCAGATTCAAACTCTTTTGACCTTCCCCCAGTAAGAAATATTACCTCATAACCCAGCACAAGCACACACATAAACACAAATTTCTTGAAATGTTACCAACTTTTACATGACAATATGCTATGTGGTTTTCTATTCTATGTCATTTATTTTTTAAATGCTTGCCATGACCCATTAAAATTGCTTTAATAATGTTCTAATTGGTCAGGATCCACACTCTGAAAAAGACTATTCTAGATACCAAGAATAAAAATTGCAAAGAGGATGTTAAATATATCGACTTGTATACTTTTCCTATTAGAGAGCCACCTGTTCTTCACAGAAACGAAACAAATGATTTTGTTTCTACTGGCAACACCAAAACTTTTCTCAAAACTCATCTCTGGATTTATATAAATGCTCAAACTCCAAAATTCTATTCACGGGGCTTCTGGAAGAAATAATCGTACCCTTGAAAATTTTGAAAACAGGAATGAATCTCTAAAATAAAAGAACCTTAATATGATTCCCAGGCAGGATGAGGTTGCCAGAATGAGTCCTCAAAAAACCGTACGAGTTAACCTTTAAATAAAATGATTTACCATTATCCAACTAGATTCTCAAATTATCTTTTTTTTCCTTTGGCAAAATTAAATTTAGCTACTCTGCCTCTCAGGAATTGGTCAACAGCTTCAGTTACTTCTTAAACCAACTCCTTAACTGTGATTTATGTCTTCATAAAAGATATGAATCCTCCTGCTAGGTAAGGTAGAAAAGCACGGGGTAATCTAAAGTCTACCTCAAGTAGTTCAGGTAGAACACAAATTCTTTTAAATGCCACTAAAAATAGGAAATTTCATGTTATGTTGATGTTTTTATGCCACTAAAAATAGGCCAATTCTCCCAATTCTGAATATCAGTGTAAATTCTAATACCTAAAGAATCATTAAAAGTTTGTGACCTGTTTTGAGTACATGCAGGCTAGCCCCACAGAAGGTTTCTATCCATAAAATCAGCAATTGACGATAGCTGTAAATTGTGCTTGAACAAGTTCTTTCTTAGAAGAAACAAAATATGTAACAAGAGTCAACAATTAAACCTAAAACTAATTCTTTGCCAGGACATTAATGGGGAAAAAGAGACAGAGACAGAGTGCGTGCAATGCTTCTATATCATGAGCTGGTATAAAGTTCTCAGGGAACATGTAGTCAGAAATTTGGAGGGGTAAAAGAGTATCTTTTTTTTTTTTTTGGCAGCTGGCCAGTATAGGAATCCAAAATAGAAGAGGGGTAAAAGGATTACCCATGTAATAAATAACAGTTTAACTTAATTCCCTTGGATTTTTACCAAGGAGTTAATTAGTAAGAAAATATTTTTAAAGTTCTGGGATACTACCCTAAGCAGAAATGGACAGATTTAGAAGTAAAATATCTTCTTCTAACACTGTCTCCAGCTTGTAGCAATTAATTTATCCAAAAGCCAGACAGATTACCAAGACCTGTTAGATAGAGTTCTGAAGAATACAAAGCATCAGCACTAACATCACTATAGCACTAGTTAACAATATTCAATTCAAGTATAACCTAGAACATATATTTGAAGGAAAGGGGAGCTATGAAATGGTATACCTAATCCCAGCCTCTTATAAGTAGATAGTGCCAGAAGACTGTCAAAACTAACTAGGTTAAAACCAGCAGAAAGCCTACAAACGTTTGGCACAGAAGACAAGTATACACTAATATCCAACATACCTCACAAGAAAGTGACTGATAAAATCAAAAAGAAATGACTGATAAACAACTATCTGTAAAAAGGCAGCAATGCATCTTGGCCACAGAGCTGACATGTAATCATTTTTTTTCCTTCACTAAATATTTACCAAGGAACTGTACTTTGCAAGCCACTACTGTCCAAAGTAAATAAAAACTTCAGGAAATAAGATGATATATAAGATATTTTCCAAATACAAAATTCTGTGATTCCATTAGTGAATTTTAGAGCTTCCAGAAACTCAGAACAATCCTAGTGTCTTTCCTCTATCAAGATGCAAGGGAAACAAAAAGACTATCATGAGTTTTTGCTTAGAGAGGCTATAAGAAAGAAACTCAAGAACAACCTATTGCAAAAAAGGATCAAAATTTGAATGAAAACCACTTGTGAGGTCTCTGGACCCAACCTGTTCTGAAGTCATAAAGCAAATGCACATGCACAACATACAGCCTAAAAGTTTTAGGACACCAAAGAAGAATGAAAATGTATATTCTACCAAGGACTAAAACAATGATCAGTAAAAACTGAAATTTTGGCTTTATTAATCCCTTTAGAAGTTACCTGGTGGTAAATCAGGATCTGTAGGAGCAGCCTGTTGAATTCTCCTGGGTTTTATTGATGGTTTTGTGTTCTCATTAGTACTACGGTTGGTAGAATTAGAACCACAGCTTTCATGGTCATCCTATATTTTAAAGAAAGAAAAGGAAAAGCGTCAAGGACATTCAAGAATTAGGAAAAATTTTTTTGAATATATGCAATTTATGGTTACTAAAGGAGATTAGACAGAACCTTCTAATTTTATTTTTTAGCTCTGAAAAACACTATATAACCTATTTTCATAATGTACAGCATTTAAAAAATAACTAGTAGTTAAAATCTATAAATTCTTCCTTTCTTTAACTAGTACCAAAACAAACTACTTGACAATATACAAAGAATTCTGATTTACAGTTATAGCAAAAGAAAAGACTATTTAATGGAAGTTTTTAACAATTTTCATGTCTGAGTGCAAAATAAATGGAAATGGTCTTAATTTTTCCCCTATTGTTTGTATGTTAAAATCCTCACTATTTTGAATCCAAACTATCTTCTTAGTCTAACAATAGTGACTAAATTTTTCATGTTACATATAAGGCTTAAATGGGTTTAATATGGATAACACAGAAACAAATTACACATATTTTTGAAGTGTATTCCCTTATATATAAAATGCAAATGAGTACTCTTTCCCTGTCCTAATTCAACATTTATATAATGTTCTCATGTAACAATTGGTAGATTTACAAAAACAAATTAGATATAATAACTGTCCTCGAGGATTTCAGAACCTATCAAACACATATATAACTACATCTAAAAGAACAGTAAGTTTTCTGTTTGTTTTTAAGTAATAGGACGACAAAGGTAGTCATTCTATTGGGAAGAATGTTTTAGGTTAAGATTGGAGGCTAAACGGTGGGGAGGTCAGGAACCGTAAGCAAAAGCAAAATGGTATAAATGTATGTAGCACATACAAGAAATGATGATTAGCCAAATAAGGCCAACATATACAATGTTTACCAGAAGCTAAAGGCATTCATTGGTTCAATAAAAACGGGGTAATGTTAAGAACTACAGAGATATTCTCAGTCCTCATTTTAGTTCGCCTGTTTCAGGATCCGGTAATTAGAAGGAGGCTGCCAGTTAACCTATAAGAAAGGAGATTTGGTACTTCCAGTAGAGGGACAGGAGTGAGAGCAGTAATTGGGTAGTTGAAAAAATGAATGAGAAGTTAAAGTAGAATCAATAAACAAAGATTGCTCTTTTAAGGAGATGGACATTACAAGAAGAAAATAAATAATGAGGTAAAAACACACATCGTATTTCTTATTTCTTTTTTAAGGACAAAAGAACACATTTTTGCTTGAAAGAAAAATGCATATGTGGAGTGAGAGATCAAAGATACCAACACAAAGGGTAACTGGTGGTACACTGTGTACCATTAAATCATAAATCAATAGTAACACTATTTTATAATATTCACAAGAATGGTGATAAATTTAATTTTTCTATTTTATATATATATATTTTTTTTTTTCCTTTTTGTCTTTTTTCGTGACCGGCAACGGATCGCAACCCTCAGTGTCGCGTCCATACCGGACCGGGACCGGCTACGGGATCGCAACCCTCGGTGTTGCTCCCGCACCTCGCTCAGCCAGTGAGCGGCCGGTCTGTATGTGGGATCTGAACACTCAGCGGGAGTGCCGCCGCGCTTCCCAAGCGGCGCACTGTAGCAGTGCGCCACCGGGCCGGCCCTCTATTTTATATATTTGAAGAGAAAATTTGAAGAGCAAATAAAAGCAATGACTCAAAATACCAATCTAATAGAGTAGTAAAGGCAACAAAGAACCTTGATAAGATCTTCTTTAGAAAACAAAAATTCTTATTCAATACCACACTAAGAGAAATACAAAATAATAAAAGTTGAATCTTTTACAAGATAGCATAGCTTCAGATACATTAGGAAAAAAAATTGTTTAAAACTTCACAAAAGCAAAAAGTAAAAGATTTGCTATTATAAACAACAAATTTTCTCATAAACTTTTGTTCATTTTAAATTAATGCAAAGCAAACATCACAGTGTTTCATTCCATAAAACGACTTCACTACTCAATCTTTATAATGACATCTTCTGTTAATTTCAGGGATGTTAGTCTTTAAATACTAAAAGACTACTACTGTGAATAAAACCTTACTGTAATTACTTTTAGCTCAACTTACATCCTTTAAAATATCCAAAGTCATACACTTCTGCACAACGTTAACATTAAAAGCACACTATTAATTTCTGAAACATGTGGCTGTCTCAAAAGCCCAGAAGTAAAACATGTTCATTAAAGAGATGTGAAAAAGTTCCAAGTGAACTGCCAAAACTAGCATAATTATGAAAATATTTAACACTGAAACCATCTGAAATCACATACTGTATATAGATTACAGTGATGTCATAATAAATATTCCAGCCAAAATGCACTAAAACTACTGCACTCCAATAAATCTGGCATACATGAGATGACAAACATTTTAAAGCAAAAGAAAGAACAAGTTATTTTTATTTTGCTTTTTAAGTTATTAGCAGCAAAGAGGGTTAAAGTAAGTAAACTAAACATGAGTTTTCAAATAGTTAAAAAAAAGTGAATAAAGCTTCCCTACAAACTAAATGTTTATATTATTCAAAAGAAAAACAAACTAAATAACTTTGTTTGTTTAAACAAAATTTATAATAGATCTGAAATTTAAGTGTGCTTAAAAAATGAACATTAATAATGGTACCCATAGGAATCAAACATTACCAAATATGTGAACACTTCTTTCTTAATTATAGTTTGGAAATTATAAATACATATATATTATAATTAGAAAATAATCCTTTTGGTAATTTGAAATTATCTTCATTTCAATTACATATTAATTGTATCAATTACAAGTAAGCTTCCATTCAAATTCTGCCCCAACCAAATTAAATAAATAAAAATAAGGCAAAACAAGAATAATTATAGTATTTACTATTTAGATCGGAATTAGTTCCATCATGAGTTTTGAGTTCATAATCTGCCTTTAATCAGTAGGGATCACTTTGGATTATTACACATTTTTACTTCATTGAAAGCCCCCAATTACTAATAAAAGAAACTCTGTTCTCAAAAATATTAGCTAAAATATTTTGAGATAATTTTTAACCCCAAACACATTACAATTATATCTTTCTAATTCAGATTGCAATTTTTCCAAAATGTCGGGAAAGTATATTTCATGGCAAAAGAATGTTTTCTCTTGGGGACCACATAGCTATTTCTGAAAATACTGCCCTTTGCTCCTCATGAAACAGCAAGAATGTCATTTCCTTACAAAAGTTCCTAACAGAGGGAAAATGTGGCAAACACTGTATGTAAATAGATCCACTACTTTTACATTGACAGATCTTGGGTTCCAGTTGCATACTTTTCTCTTTAACCCTTAGAGAGCTAGTCAATTAAAACTTGAAAACCATCAACTCCCAGATTCACAATGGTGTGAATAAGATTAAGGACAAAACTTAAAACAAGTAACTGAATCATTTCAAGTCCTTGTCTAAAAACAGAGCAAGAGGTTAAGATCCAAGAATGAGATGAAATAAAGAAGGAGAAACTGAACTGTGGAACTAAGAAGTGATGTGTTCTATGCTCTTCAGCCTTACAGCATCAAATTTGGTCAGCAGAAAAGGACTAAGGTTCACTTGGCAGCTCTGGTCACCAATAGGCTCCTAACACAGTGAAAAGGGGTTGGAAATGAACTTAGGTACTTACATTCACCTCTATCCTCTCCAATAACAAGTATAATGGCAATTGTCAAATGTAATAAAAATCCCTAAGACTGACACTGCATTTCATAGAGTCAGAGAGCCAAATAAAGTCACAAACTCAGAGCCACACTTTGACAACACAAGAGAGAGCCAGGGAAAACAAATTTACTAACTTTCATGGTAAAAATGGGCATCTCTGGCTCACTTCTACCCTGACAGCAATATTAATAAACTTAATTTTAGTTATTAAAAAAAATACCAAGCATGACTTAAAAAAGGAGGAATATGTAGCACCAATTCTCTTCACACCTCAACACCATAGTGGAGGCTGCTTCCATCTTCTCTCCCGTCAAGAGTGGAGATAAGGAATTATCATAGACTGAGAAAAAAGGGAAGAGTTGACTCTCCCTTGCATTCTTTTACTTTATCATCTCAAAAGAAGGAATAACTAACCTGACTGACCAAAGATGAACACTGATTGTGCCACATTTTAACACTAAGAGATTATTGTACTTACTGTAAACACTTTGGTGTCATGGCGCCTTTCCTCTATATCTGAGATCCATGCTACTGAGTAACAGGATCAGATCCATTTTCCCCAAATGACTCAACTATTAGCCATCTCATCTGCCTTTTTTTATTTTTAATTGTACATATTTGTGGGCTACACTGTGTTGTTTCTATATATGCATATATTGTACAATGATTCACTTAGGGTAGATGGCACATCCATCACCTAAACATTGACCTTTTCTTTGTGATGATTACATTCAGGATCGTCTTTTCTAGCTATTTAGAAATATCGCATATAATATTATTAGCGATAGTCAGCCTAGAACACCAGAACATATTCTTCCTATCTACCTATAACGTTGTATCTGTTAATTCACCTCTTACCCCACAACCCCCTTCCCTTCACAGACTCTGGTAACCACTACCCTATCCTCTACTCCTACAAGAACTTTTTGTTTTTCAACCTAAACCTCACATCTTGTATTAAAATTAACTCAAAATATCAGACATAAATGTAAAACCTAAAACCATGAAGCTTTTAGGAAAAAAAATAAGAAAATCTTTCTGAACTTGGGCTAGAAAAAGAGTTCTTAGACATGACACCAACAGCACAATCTATACAAAGGGAAATATTGATAAATCTGACCTAACCAAAACTGAAACCTTTTGCTCTGTGACAGGCACCATTGAGAAAATGAAAATTATAAACTAGAAGAAGATATTTGCAAAGCACATATATAACTAGAACTCATACCTAGAATATATAAAGAACTCTTAAAACTCAACAGAGAAAATAAACAATCAAATTAGAAAATGGGCAAATGACATGAACAAACATATCACTAATA